CGCCTCGCAGATACTGTGCTTGTGTAATGATTGTGATTTATTTTTCCTTCTGCAAAGAAATATCCTGAAGAGGGGATGCGGGATGCATCCTCTGTTAGATTCCCATCTGACTGAGAAGGTCTGAGGTGACTTCTCATCAAAGGAAGGTAATTTCACCTCTTTGTGCGTGCTGTGTGTGATGCTGCTCTCCAGCCTGAGCTGAAATACTACCTTGCATGATACTGGATGATACTGGGATTATATTTTTTTTTTCCTAAGTATTTCCTTTCTCCTTGCTGTAGCTGGCATATTTTAGCATTTAGTAACTTGCCCCTCCAGCACATCCTGCCAGGCAGGAGAGTGGAGCGAACTGCCAGGAATACAGCTTGGATGAAGTTTTATCTGCTTATAGATCTGACATACAGCTTCCACACTTCCCACTCCGAGGAGGCTCCAGCATCCCAGTGGTGGGAGACAAGCTGTGGACACATGGCTGGTTTTATATGTTCATTGGGTCTAGTGTCTAGGGTAAGGTTTTGAAACATTCACCTCCTTCAGGGAGATGTAGTGAAGGCAGGAGTAAGTACTGCTTTAAGGTCCCAATGCAGCCTGTGTTCTCTTCACTAGGAACCATGCTTGGGAGGGAAGGGATGATGTGCAGGAGCCAGGTGAGGTCCCTGGCATTTCAGTGCATGTTCAAAATAGTTTTCATAGCCATTTTGGAAGATGGACTGTGGTGGACAGTTGAGACGGCTGAAAGAAACGCTTCACAGGATCACAGAATGCTATGGGGTTGGAAGGGACCTCTGGAGATCATCTAGTCCAACTCTCTGCCAAAGCAGGGCCACCCAGAGCAGGTCCCACACAGGAACGTGTCCAGGTGGGGTTTGAATGTCTCCAGAGAAGGAGACTCCACCACCTCCCTGGGCAGCCTCTTCCAGGGCTCTGCCACCCTCAAAGTGAAGAAGTTCCTCCTCATGTTGAGATGGAACTTCTTATGTTCCAGTTTGTGCCCATTCCCTCTTGTCCTGTCCCTGGGCACCACTGAAAAAAGACTGGCCCCATCCTCCTGACACCCACCCTTGAAGTATTTATAGGTGTTGATCAGATCCCCCCTCAGCCTTCTCTTCTCTTGGGACTAAAAAGTCCCAAGTCCCTCAGCCTTTCCTCCTAAGAGAGATGCTCCAGGCCCCTCATCATCTTCATAGCCCTCTGCTGTCCCCTCTCCAGCAGTTCCCTGTCCTTCTGGAACTGGGGAGCCCAGAACTGGTCCCAGTGCTCCAGATGGGGCCTCCCGAGGGCAGAGCAGAGGGGCAGGATGACCTCCCTCCACCTGCTGCTCACACTCTTCCTGATGCCCCCCCAGGATGCCATGGGCCTTCTTGGCCACAAGGGCCCATTGCTGGCTCACGGGCATCCTGTAAACCAAAGAACTGGTCCTTCCCTGTCTGCCAATCTCTGTTGCTTTCAGAGGCAGCCTGTAGCCCACAGCGTGGGGATATGTTAAGTCATGAAATCAGAAGCTGATGGAGGCCATCCGAGGAGGTGGGGTGCATTAGTCAATCAGGTGTTGGTGTGCCTGGCTGAACGCCTCCAGGCCTCCACCAGGAGCCTGCTGGTGCACACCCTGTCCTGCTGGTGCACACCCTGTCCTGGTTCATTGCTCCCTCTGTTCTTCCAGTCCCATCCCAGCCAGCACTCCCTGGGAAAAGCCGGTGTTGCCTCCTGAGGGATTCATGGGGTGCCAGGATAATACCTCCTAAAGCCAACCTGTGTGTCCCCCCACCCCGTCCCAAGCCCCGCTCTGTGTTTGTCCCTGTTTGACTGGCAGGAGTTCTTCTGCGTCGGGTTAATTGTGGCCAACTGCCTTTTGCAAGGAGGACCTTCTTAACCGCGCGTTTTAAATAAGAATCCCCTGCCTGGGGGGAAGTGGGGTTATTTGTAGGGCTGCAGGCAGAAAACCGGTGGCTGGTATTTCACCGGACCTTGCCGCTTCCTACCCTTGTTGGCTGTTTATTTCTCATCCACAGGATGATGAAGAGGCAGCCCCACGCCTTCCGTCTCCTCGCAGGTTGTTGCAGGAGAGGGCATTGTACCAGATGCGGGGTTATTCACCGAGCCGCGCGTTTCCAGCCGCTGATTGCCGGAGCCGCTCAAAATGAGCTACGGCAATTACATTTGGCGTGGTAGGGCTGTCATTTGACTGCGTGTTTAATAGCTGCCTAGGAAAAAAAAAAAAATAGGTAAATGCCCTCTTCCCGGCTGGGGGCAGAAGGAACGCCTGGATGTGTCCAACTGGGTAAAACGAGGCTGGGTTTTTAAACGGAAAGCGGAGGTTTTTATGTCTTTGGGAAGGTGTGATGCCGGGGAAACGTCTCTTTCCCGCTGCGGTTGATGGCGGGGAGCTGGGCTGCTGGAGATGGACCATGGGGGCAGGACCTTTCCGTGGGGACGTGCTGCGGGGAGAGGGGGATGATGTCCCCCCGTGTTGGGTGATGATGTCCCTCCTGTTGGGTGATGATGTCCCCCCGTGTTGGATGGCTCCTCTTGCTGCCACCCCAAAACCTGCTGGAAGGCTGGGGTTTTGAACCCCTAGTCAGCAGCTCGGGCAGGCAGGGCAGATGCTGGTGGGTCTAACCCACAGAAATAATAATAATAATAATAATAATGATGATGATGATGATGGTGATGATGATGATAAATCAAACCCCCTCTCCCCATACCTTCCCTGAAGCTGTCTTCCGGAGCCAAGGGGC